ATATATATATATATTTATATGTTCCAAATTTCTTTTTTTGTAAATTGTATGAGAAAAGATAAATTTTATTTACAGACAGATAACGAATGCAAGAAATTACGTGGGAATGATCGTGTACCTCTCGCAGAACAAATGAGACCAACATCACTACTGAACTTTGTAGGTCAGAAACATATTCTTGGACCTCGCACCATGCTCTCTGAACTCCTGCAAAAGGGTGAAATACCCAACATGATTCTCTGGGGCCCACCTGGATGTGGCAAAGTAATATTGCATATTTTTTTTTGTGCAAACGCATGTCTATAACAGCTTCTTCTTTTCTTATTGCAGACCTCCTTGGCTAATGTTATCGCGCACGTGTGCAAAAACGACACGAGCAATAAGCTACGATATGTTAAGCTTTCAGCTGCAATGGCTGGTGTCCAGGAGGTAAAGGCAGTTATCAATGTCGCTAGTAATCATGCCAAATATGCACAGCGTACAATAGTATTCATGGACGAGATACACAGATTCAATAAGGCGCAGCAGGATGTATTCCTGCCGCATGTCGAGTCAGGAACCATCACTCTGATTGGAGCCACGACAGAAAATCCCTCGTTCAGTTTAAATTCCGCATTACTAAGTCGATGCAGAGTAATTGTTTTACACAAATTATCCGTTGCGAATCTGCTATCGATTTTGAAGCGCGCAGTAATTTCACTGCAAGGTATAATACACGAATTAGATAAAAATGAAAGCACTCTGCAAGATATCAACAAAGAAAGCACGTCAGAGGAGAGCAATGTTGAGATGACACAATCCTGCAATACAAAGTTTATTATAGACGGACCGACAATAGAATGGTTGGCTGAAACTTGCGACGGTGATGCTCGAATAGCTCTAGGTGGATTAGAAATGGCGGTACGATGTAAAGCACCGAATGAAGAGGAATTACTGAATGTTGGTCCAGCATTAATAACGTTGAACGACATTAAGGAGAGCCTGAAGAAAACACACATGCTGTATGACAAGAAAGGTGATCAACATTACGACATAATCTCCGCGTTGCACAAATCGGTCCGAGCTAGTGACGAAAACGCATCGCTTTATTGGTTAACCAGAATGATCTCCGGCGGTGAAGATCCGGTTTATATCGCGCGAAGATTGGTGAGGATGGCTAGCGAAGATATCGGCTTAGCTGACCCGAAAGCTCTTGGTAAATCGATTACTTGACATTTCTAAATATCAATCTCATACATTTTGTTAATAACTAGAATTATATATCGTTTATTACCGGAAACGGAAGTCCTCTATTAGAATTATATATTTTTATACTGATTTGGAATAATTATAGAATATGCATAATCCATACAAGATCTGACAAATATATCTGATGTCGATGCATATTACTGTGCAGGAATAGCGGTACATACAATGCACGGTTGCAAAATGATCGGGATGCCGGAATGTGATGTTCTTTTAGCACAATGTACAACATATCTAGCGAGAGCACCAAAATCTAGACTAATGGAAGATGCACTTAGAGCTGCGCAAAGAGTGGTGGCAGAACATAAAGGTCCACAACCGGGAGTGCCCCTATATTTAAGAAACGCGCCTACGAGACTCATGAAAGATTTGGGTAAATATTTTATTTTTATTTTAATTTACAAGGTACTCTCAATAAATTAAATAATCATTTCAGGGCACGGTAAGGGATATAATATGAAACACAAGGATGAATCTGGATTGAATTATTTACCAGAGGGATTGGAAGATTTAGATTTCTTTGGAGATGACGAAGATGATACCTAGAAATACTGTGGTAACTGTTTTTATTTAGATATATTTTATCATATAAAGTATTATTTTTTCACAATAAAATATTCTTATTACATTTTACAAGTTTCATACCAAAATCTCAGATTTATCGGGAATTAGATTTTAAGCGTAAATATAAGATATAGCATATATATTATATATTTTTATATGTATGTAAGATATTTTTAATAGTATACGCAGAATATATAAAAAATATTATAGAATAAAATATTGTAGAAATATTAAAAATTTATTTCGAATGATCATTCAGGCGTCAAAAAATAATATTTTAATTCAAATAAATAAAAATAGACTTATAAGTTCAAGAATTCAGCGAAAATTTTTTAATCGCGCAACAAATCTGATCAGTTTTAAACCTTCACGAATGCATACATTTTCTCCAAATTAACGTTTTATTATTAGCAGGCATGTCTATGACTTCGATTAATTTAATATCATTCTCTTCAGCTAACTTTTTCAAGTCTCTTACATCTCGTAAACCCCAACTTGGATCTTGCGATTTCAACGATTTGTCGAAATTTACATTACTTTGCGGAGTGATCTGGCCATCAAAAGCATATGGTCCGTACGTAATCAGTAATCCGTTTGGTTTCAGCAACTGCCCCGCATTGTTAAATAAACCGATTGTGCACTGGTACGGCGAAATATGCATCATATTCGCGTTGTATATGTATTCTAAACTGTTCGGCTTGAAGATACCGTTACTCCACAGTCGGAAGTCCGTGGTGATGTCAATTCTGATGGGACTCTTTATATTAGAGTATCCGTTCGCGTGCGCGGCGATACTATCCAAAAGTCGCGGCTCGTATTCCGAGGGATAAAATGTAACATGTGGAAAATGCGGTGCGAAATGCGCTATGTGTTGCCCCGAGCCAGAGGATATTTCCAGGAAGGTCTGATTTGTGCCACGTTGAATGTATCGTTTTAAAACCGATAGTATCGGATCCTTATTGCGGTCCGCCGCTGGGTAAACAAGCTTTTTGGCAGCCATAGTATGTGACCTTCAAGAAATTTCAATTTCACTTCCTACAGAAAGATGTATATATTATTGTATATTACCTGCTGTTCTATTGCAAAGTGACATACACATAAGTTTTGTAAAGTTGTTAAAATATATCGTTATTTGTAAACGATGTTATTTTTTATCATATTTTATTTTAAAGTTTGATCTATACCACTTTGAAATTAAACAGCTCAAATAAGACAAAGTGCTTGTCAGTTTTAAATACGTATCTCACCTGTGATTAACAGCGTAATGAATAATATTCATCTCTATGTTATGTTAATTGTGATATAGCAAGAGATTGCATATCCTGAAAAATGCAAATATTTTTTTGTACTATTATATCAAATTATATATTTTCGTTTTTAAGAGATAATTTATTGCAGTAATCTTAATTATTAAAACTAAAATAATTATTGTCAAATATATAAATGAAATGAGCCAATATTTCATTACTATCAACTTAAAATATCAAAAATAAATAACATCATATATGATAGAGAATATATCATATGAGAATATATCATAATGATAGAGAAAATAAAAATCAGTCTCGTATTGTTATTAATGAATATTAATATTTATTGATAGCTATAAGTTATAATACAATTAATTTTATATTTTTTATTTTATGATATTTCATTTTCACTCTGTTTTCGTCAAAGTATATTTACATTTTAAAAGGTCAATGTTGCCATCGCCATTCAAAGTGAAATATTACATATAATAGGTCTTTGTATATACAAGATACGTATGTACACACGCGGTCATTAATACCTTAACATACAAAGTATTGAAGCAAATTCGGATTGCGTACTCCGTCTCTAGACATTTGTCTATATGATTATTAATGATTATTAATATTTTTATATAAATATATATAAAATTTCTCTTACTGATATGTGTATATATGTATATATATATATATATATATATATATAAATTTAAATATATATATATAATCAATATATTTTATTATATTTTTAATATACGTACAATGAGATAACACTGCAGCAAATAATCATTATATACACGAACATCTAGAGACGGAGTACGCGATCCGAATATACTTCAATACGCGTGCAACTTCATATGTCAAGACATTAATTGTATAAGAAACAAACTGTTAGTATCGATCCACAATAAGTATTTAATCTTTAAACCGTAAGAAATTGACCAATTATAGTAGATTATTCTTTTCATATTCGATTATAATATTGGTCAATTTCTTACTTCTTAAAGCTTAAATCATCTATTGTGGACCGACACTTATGGACGCTTATCGTACTTATCATACATAAAAAAAGATCTGCAATTCTAGTAATAAGTCTTATTCAACGCTTTTTTTTATCTGTGTCTTTTTCTTTGGATGTCGCTTTTTTCTTTTTTTCTTGATTCTTTTTAGCTTTTGTTAATTCCGGTATATATACAGAGTGTCCAGATTTCTTCAAATGTTCAAATAATTTGTTTTTGCTAGGAAATTCAGCTGAGCAAGAAACACAGCGATGTGCCAAGTCTTCGACGTCCGCGATTGAATCTCTTTTACTTTTATTCTTGCTCTCCCGCTCTTCTTTCTTAGAATCTTTTTTCACTTTGTCGATTTTCAGTCTTTCATTAACAACTTCTACTTCTTCCGTTGCTGTGCTTTCACTTTCTGTTAGTTCCCTTTCTTCGTGCGTCTCTGCTTTTTGCATTTGTTTTTTTATTTCTATCTTTTTCTGCTGTAACTTTTTTCGTTGTTTCTTCGACAGCCACAGTTCCTCGTTAATACTCTCCGTATCATCGTCACTAGCTAATTCAACGGGATTTTGAATATTACGTTTCTTCTTCTTTTTTTCTTTTGACGGCTCGATGATGCGATGTTTTCTTCCTGATCAGATATTAATTCGTCTTCCGAAGTTATGTTTTCTTCTTCATTTGCTATTTTTGGTGAAATCAAGATACTTTCGCCCATTTCTGGCCCCGCAATTAACGGAACATCCCCTTGACTATCTATCTTTTTTTCTTAGTTGTCAATTGAAAATGTTCTGAATCGTCTTCATTGTCCGACATTAGTTCGGCAGGAGAGGTATCATCGTTATCCTCGTCTTGTTTTGAATTGTTTTGAGGGTTTAGCAAGAAATCAGGCATCTGCGAATCTGTTGCCAATTTGAATTTCTTTAATGAAGTTGATTCTTCTTCCGTGCTTGAGTTGCTTTCCCGAGAGTTATCGCCGAGGTCCTCATTCTCCTTTCCAAAGAAATAATGAAGCGCGCTAAGCTTTTCATTCTGGAGGTGCTTCTTAGAATTTTCGTGATTCACGAAGGCTTTGTATGTCTGAAAGATTTTATTGCAGATACAGCAGAAAAATCCATTCGGATCGCTGTTTCTGTTTGTCACTTTCTTATCGTCTGCCCCGAATTCTTCCGTCAAATTTGCCTCGATATTTTTTAGCTCTGTCTCCATGTCCGAGAATTTGGACCATTCAGATTGAGTTGCGGCTTGTTGCTGTAACAGAATCTGCCTCTCCATTAGTTGTTTCTTCCTATATTCCTCTGCCTTGTAAAAATTCTCGCGCTTACGTTCGGTCAGCTTCTCCACATAAGCCTGTACTCGCTTATCGCGTTTACGGACGAAAGCAACCAAATTTCGTACTTCCTCGTTTCTCTCACGTCTTGCTTTGTCACGAACTTTCTTGTTTTCCTTCTCTGCAAGTCTGAGAATGCGCCGATTCCGTATCTCACGTATATTATGCGGTTCTAGCCAAACATAGGACTTCTTAGTAGTATAACTCTGCCAGTAAGCATAGAAATTGCTCACCACATCCTCATAGGAACTCTGAGAATCGCCAAAGCCAGGAATTTCCTCATCAGAGTCGCTATCTTTGGCAAACTCGGCATCCTCTGCTGCCAATTTCTCGAAAACGTTTCTATAGACGGTATAGAAACCTTTTTTGTCATCTCCATAACCTTTGAAACATGAGGTAGAAAAGAATGGGAAAAGATTTATAGAGTCATCTTTATAGTCTTCTCCGATGCCACCCTTCAGGATGGCTTCCCGATGATTATCATACCAAGCACGCTCTTGAGAATCGCTCAGTATGTCCCATGCTTGCTGGACAAGCTGAAACTGTTCCTTAGCTTCATCTGGATTCTCAAGATTCTTATCTGGATGCCATTTCAATGCCAATTTCCTATATGCTTTTTTTATGTCGCTGTCGGAGGCATTTCTTGGGACTCCTAATACTTCGTAATGACACTTCATTCTACTGTTGTATTACACAGATGCTGGACACAATTTCCTTACTTAAACCACAAACCGTATGCTAAAAGAATTTAAATTATTAAACTACGAAGTTAAATAGCTTTTAAATAATTTAATATTTTATTTCAAGATTATTCACAAGCTCAGTGCTTTGCCTCGTACAAATACATAATAAAATCTGAGATCTACAAGAATACTAAATATGATACATTACTAAAAAAAAAGATTATTAAACAAGCCAAACAAAAGAAAATCTATCGCAATTTTTAACATTCTTAACAGATCTTTCCGATAATGATTATTTATTATCCAATTTCAATGTCATTACTTAACTACATAACCCCTGAATTTTTTTTCTCGTTTTCAAATATGCTCTATTGACAACTCAATTCGGCAAAATCGATCGGAAAGAAAAGTAACGAGGCGCAATGATCTCGTAAATTATTTTTAACAATTTAAAAAAAAAACCACGTGCGTGCACCTGCCAGTTCCAATGACCCTCGGTGATGACTGTCGATCGTCGAACGATATTTCGAAAGAAGGATATGGAAACTGATGGGAACTTACCCAACTTATCGATCTTATTGTTGATGCTGCGCGCAGCTGACGCGCAATCGACGTTAAATATTCGAAATCCTAATTATCGAAGGTTACAATGGCTGTGTTAATAGAAAATTTTATATATATATATATATATACGTGATATGCCTCAACGAGGAGGCTCCACTGTTTTTTCACATTCCACATTGGGTACGTTCTGTTCGACGCTCCGAATGTTCGCGAGCATCAAGTTTGTCCTTATTTGAATGAAAAAGACGAAACGATTCGCGAGCATCAAGTGCGATTAAAATGAACGCACCTGTTGAAATGTTTCAATGCAGAACCGCCATGAGATAACATTTTTTTCACTCCATTCTTCCTTCTTCCCCCCCCTCCCCAGTCCCTTCAATCTATGAGGCAAATATAAAATCAATAAAAAAAAAGGTTTTTTTTTCGTAATATTTATATTTTATGTTACATGAATTATGATGTATAATCGAGAATTGTCTGGGACATCCTGTATATCATGATTAAAAATTATTTGTTCAAGATTTCGAAGAGTTCGAATTATTGGCTCCCATTTCGTTCGAATCTGACATGATAAAATATGCACAATCGATTAATCACACCCACGATTTCTTCAAAAGATCGATTACTTTTCTGAAAATGTGTCAAGTTCAATTTTCAATATTTGCTCGTCGTAATATGATTTATAATTTCCTATAATTTCTGACCGTCTCTCCTTCGAGTATTGCGAAAGACCTGTCGAATTATTTCATCTTTCTGTACTACAAGTCGCTACAATACTACAAATTTCCTCCAATTTATGAAGGTGATTTCGTTGCCGCACAATAAAACTGCGCAAATTGACACGGGTCACTTTCGCAATATCGGTGCGTCACGAGACTTGTCGGAAATGCGACTTTTTTTTGCTGAATAGCATTCGTCAAAAGGAGGATAAAGCCACAATTTCGAAAATGTGACGACTGCGAATGCAGTCAAAATTTACCAAAATTGGAAAGGTCCTCCATCGGTCCCCATCCATGGACCTAAGAATATATATATATATATATAAAGAATATACAAATATTAAAATATATAAACATATAACATATATAAAGCATATATATTGGACCGAAGAATATATATTCTTAAGTTCACGTCCCTATTGAGATCAATTTTCCGGGATTTGCGTGGCGGCCCCGCCTCGTAGGGACTTTCGAGGTGGAACAGCTGATCGCTCTCGGCCGCCCTGTCCATTGATATCACATTCTCGGCCGAGCGAGACGGCGATGGTCGCGAGGGCGCAGTGAGGAACGGGCGATTTTCGGCCAGATATCGCCAACTGCGACGTCCCGGCCGATTGTCAACGGTATTACGTCGACTCGCGGTAATTATTCCTCGCGTTCTGCGCCCGCATGACCGTTGTCAGCGTCCCATGGACGGACGCTCTCGACGAGCAGCCCGTAGCCTTGAGCGTCTGTGACATTTTGCCAACGTGATGTAGCAGACGCCTCTAATTGCTCTCAATCAGCCGTCGCGATTCGCGATATATCCCGATGATCTCTGGAACCTGACGTGCGCTCGTCGGCGCGACGTAAATCCTCTCCGTAAATCTGCCAGTTCGTGCGCCTAATATAGTCAATTACTCGTGATTATAAACGAGCCTGTCATTTTATTGCGTGGTTATCTCACTACTGTTTGATACCAATGATAACATCGTTATTGCGTACTTCTCTCAGCTTCTCCGGATGTAACTCGCCGCTGGGAGTTATCTGTACCTTGGACATTTTTCTAATTGACTGCGCAAAGATATACGACTAATCGTTGCTTGCTTTAAATTGATTATTTCAATATTTAACTTTGTAAACTCGTCCTTTTCCTTTATATTTCACATTTTAAAATTACTTTCACCGTTTTATGTGTATACTTTTGGTGGATAAGAGAAACATTAGTGCTGAACAACAGAAACAAATATATTATAAAAATTGGTTTATTGATTGTGATAATTATTTTCAGATCACTTGCAAAGATGACTGCAGGTACCAGTTTAGTGGTGCCCATAGTACTATGGGGACGCATAGCACCGACCCATTGTATCTCCTGTGTTTACTTATCTCGGGATCAAAAGACACTAGTAACAGGATGTTATGATGGGCAGATATGTCTCTGGCAGGTAGATCCAGAAACATTGAAGGTATGTATAGGAAGCTAATAATCACTTATTTATTATTAATTTATATTATGATAATTTATTGACACAGATGACTCCAAGATGTCTGCTTGTTGGACATACTGCTCCAATAATGTGCCTCAGTCGAGCCAGTGTTGTAATGGAGCAGAACTTCATCGTCAGCAGCAGCGAAAGCGGGGAAATGTGCACTTGGGATCTGGTGGATGGAAAGTGCCGTGAAGCAGTGAAGCTTAATAGCGTTCACACGCAGATGTTGCCCTATGTTTCCACTGGTGGAGAAGATGTTAGATTGTTTTGTTCTGGGTAAGAATAGCACTATTCGTATGTCACATCATAATAATATGTGTTTGTACGATCAAAAATGTACATATTTTTTTTCACATTTCAGATACTATCCTGAAGTTTTGGTGATGGACCCGTTCAGTTTGGAAGTGCTGTTCACCCTGAGCTCCCGCGTCAATCCAGATTGGATTAGCGCCTTGCACGTTTTGCGGCCGGCCAAACGGAAAGGTCGGTTCTACGTGCATACAAGTTAGTTACACTCCATCACACCTACGCTTTATACCATGAACCGCTACCTTCTATCAACTTCACTGCCAACAGATACTGTATATAAAGACGAATCGCAATATGGCTTTTGTAACAAATTTATCCCGAAAGTTTAGTGTAATAATTTGATTTAAACCTTGCATTTCTGCTATCTAAAAACTTCCTTTGCTATTTGCAACAATTTTTACAGCAATTGACATTCAATATTTTTTTATATAAATAAGATTTATTAAACAGTATCTTTTGGCTTTCATTATTTTGTATACTTGTATACTTATGTGTTTCTTTTCAAGTAAAAGACTTATGGATACTAGTGGTAAAGTTTCTCTTTTTTCGTTCTATTTTTGTGCCCTATTTGAGTGAAATTAAGTTGGACGGTAATTCTTACCGTTTATAATTACTAGTATAACTTGAAAGCAACTAACGATATTTAAGGCACTTGTACAGTTTCTTTTGTACTTTGGATTTTGTAATCTGCTCTATCATTTTTTATTGGCAATTAACCTGAAGAAGCTTTATGCTTTGGATATAAACAGGGATTGTCTTTTTGATCAATATTATATTTATCTTTTGATGATCTATTACTCGATTTTGCGAGTAACATCATCTATATCTAGTTTGATAGTAGCAGTTTTATTTATCTAATATTTTTGGTCTGACACTTAATAACAGTTACATTGTTGCAGCATGTTAATGAAACATGGACACAAGTCAGCGCTAATGCGCTGGCAGTTGAGGCTGTATCACATATTTTTCGTTTATCTTTTCTTTTATCTAATCGTGATTCATATTCCCATTCTTTGCGCATCCCTTGAACATCAAATCACTACTAATATCTCATTTTTCTCTCTTTTTATATCGTCATACTATTCATATATCCGTCCTGTTACTTACATATGAATGACACATTATCTATATTTATACACATCGCATTTCATTCGATATTCACTACCTTAACACTTTCACCTGGTATACTATGTTTCTATTCGTAAGTATATTTATATATTATAATACGTATTTACACGCGACAAAACAAATTGCACGCTCTGTATTATTATTAAGTTTAATCTCGTACCGTTTTGCTATTGCTACAATGAAAATTATATTAATTATTGCATTAAAATATATTGATTATTTTGCCAAAATATAAAATTGACTAAGAGAAATAATTTAATAATTGTAGAATATTTTTTTCTCGATTCTATCTTATGATTTATAGAGATAATTTTAAGATAATTTGGAATAAATGCCAGTGTTTATAGCTTTAAATATAATTTGCCGGATTTTTTGAATTAATTTCTAATTTTTATGTTGTTACTTACATTTATAATAATTACGCTGAAATAATTATGCTAATTTATGTTTTCTTAAAAATTATACGTGGAGCTATAAAAATTAGTTAATTATATCTTATACGCATAAAATTCGACTAATTGCAAACGAAGATGCTAAAGAGAGATATTATAAAAGGCGGTCAACTCGTGCTCGAAAAATGCAAATATTTTATCAGCACTTGGGCAACTGTACACATTAATTGTTGTCTTTTAATCAGCATAATCCTTGGATTTCGCTTGGTCAAATAAATCAAATACATACGTAGTTTCTGCATAACTGGAATTAAGCATGACTTTGCTGAAATTTAATACGTATCGCTTTCTACTCCACGGAAACATCTGGCATTGCATGTAACACTATATATCTTACGCATACAGAATTATGCTTAACAAGGATCATATTGTACCCATTAGAATAACAGCTGTCTCCGTGGTCACCTGTAACACTATTTATTTTATTCGATCTGACACGAATAATGATCTTAATTACATTAATTCGAAGCTATGGCAAATTTTTTTATTTGTGGCGAACTGTTCGGGTGACCCCTAATAAAATATTCTATCGCTTAAAGAAATGCTACAATGCTCTCCTAGATTTACTTAACGCGCAACAGGCACTTTCATTCGTTTAAAGACGATGTTGTGTTGGCACTGACGACGACGGGCACGGTCAAAGTATGGACGCTTCTGGGACACGAGAATCGAAACAGCGAGCCATTGTACGAGCACGAAAGCAAACAGATCCGCTGCTTGAATGCACTCGCGATGACTTGCTGCCCCTACAATCAGAGAACAGTATTGATCGTATGCTCCAAGTACTGGCAGGTAATTTACTGTTACCTCTGAAGCTAAACGTAATTAGAGAACTTTTATCACTAAAATGTCAGATTAAATCAATGACAAAATTTTGCCATCAAACTGCATTCTTTTTTATTTAGAATACTATGTTAATTAGCGTCTACAATGAGAAGCTATATCAATACTGTAATATATTAATTGGAATAATTTTATAGATATTTGATGCCGGCGATTTCTCGGTTCTCTGCTCGATAACGGCCCCATGTGGTGAACGTTGGATGGCAGGCGACTTCTTGGCCGCCGATAGAGTTATTCTGTGGAGTGATGAAGGTCATGGATATCTGTATAAACTTCCGGCAAAGTACGTATTCGTTTGACACGACGCTAAGTTTTGTCGGTAAATGCCATTGATTTTCAAGATATATTCTAGAAATATTCTTTTGAACATATTGGTTTTCTTCTCCCTGGCTGGTGATAATATTGCTTAACAAACGAATAAATCTTTCTTATGTCTGAAATTTAATACTTGCGATTGAATGACATTATGCAATTCGATCGAGATACTCGAATATTGAATCTTATTGATTAGCACATCCCTTTATTGCTTCTAGGATTCTGGTACAACTTGACAGGTAGTTTATTTTCGTGTATACTTAAGTATTAAAGTTCTTTTGCAAATAATATCTAACAATATTTTTGTGTGAAAGAAAAAGGAATTATACTAATAGTTTTAGTAGCATGGTTATAGTTACTAAAGTGCACTTTGTTGACTTTAAAAAGCAATTTATGATGGTTAACAAATGCTAAAATAGCGATTTAAATAGCATACTTAATCATAATTTATGTGATACATCTTTGAGAAATAATGTAATACAGACATTTCATAGATATTACATCAATCTTTAATATTTTACATATAAGTAAATAATATAATATGAAAAATATCGCAAAATTCATATGGAATTTCTAGCATAACTATTAGGCGTATTAATTCGAAAATGAGTTCTCTTTTTAACCATAGAACTGAATGCCGTAGAAGCACTTGCTGGCAATGCACTTGTTCGATATTTTATTTTTTATCTTGTTTACTACCATTTATCATACACATTCGAAGTCACGTTGCCGTTTACTAAAACTCCATTACATTTAATAACCTGATTTCACAAAATAAAAAGTATGTAATGCATTTTTTGTTCTCTCATGTACTTTATTAAATTTTTATTTTAGATATAAATGAAGAGAAGATTTAGATCTCGAATGTAACTTGTAATGTAACTTGACATTGAAAAAGTATAGTTGTTAAGTATCAATAGAACAATGAATGAAATAATTAAATTTAAACAATAATTAACATATTAATTAAGTGGAATTCTTTAATCGCGCACGTTTTATTTTATTTCGTGTCAAAAAATTTGAAGAAGCCTCTTTTTCCAAGAGCTTCACGAAAATTCAAGATGATTCGACATTCGGTCGATCTCAATGTAATCCCAGAACATAAATTTCGTACATGCACATGAATTAACAATTAACACAATGATCCACTTTACGGTGATGTATGTCTTTTTCATATTATTCACATCTACTGCATTCTACGCGGGATCTGGTGTTCTTCTAGCAAGCTGAAGGGCAAGGCTCTCAGCAGGTAACCCGCAATATCACTTGTACATGTTCATACTATTCTCTCTTCTAATCTTTATTTCTTTCTTCGTTTCTTTATGTTTTTGTCATTCGCCTTCATTTTTCTCTTGTGTTCGTAAATGCAATGATTCGCTTTTACTCATCCTTCTTTGGTACAAGGTGCGAAAAACTCAGAAGCGTAAGTTCATATTGGTAAGCAGTACCCAAATGCATCAAATTTTATAATTCCAACGAATTAGTTGTGAATTATATGCATTAATAACATTCGAATACGACGGTACATTTATTTTGTTTTATATTCATAATAATATTATGAATCCACATTGGCATTTTCGTACAAGTTTGTACGTTTATTCGCATTATACATCCTGTTCCATATCCAAATATTCAATCCTTCATTGACATCCTTAATCGCAGTTCAAACGGATAATATAAACAAGGTGAAAATATAAAAATCCTCGAAAGAAGGTAAATGCGAGAAAAAATTGTGTATTGCCATATTTCATTACTTATGTTCTCACATTCTCTTTGCTTTAAATTGCTTTGCACTGTTATTAACTGTGCGATTATATCAATGTAACAGACATGGCACAAAGGTAATTTATCAAGATAAAGAATAATGTTTTCAAGAGTAAGTATTCTGATATCAATAATTTAAAAAGTTAATATCATTTTTCAATTCAAAAGTGAAAGAAACAAAACATGTTATATATGTTTTCAAGTCTGTCATTTTTTTATTCTTTCTTTCAAATTTAAGAATAATTTTGACTATTTTAATTTTGGAGTGTTGATGTCAGAATTTGTTGCAGTCCTAAAATAAGTCTTTATTTCTACCTTTGTGTGTCGTTTTACAATCTGAAGATGCTGTCGCTTCGAAAAGACGTTTAATAGCAGCAATTGCTTGCTAGTAAACATAGTCAGCCAATAAACAAGCATATTTCAAATTATTCGATGTAATATAAAGCTTATACGATGTGAAAAAATAATTACTATTCTTGGGCACACGTTTCAACATGCATACCCAGATTTTCATGTCTATGTTATATACGGTATTCTCTATGGGGAAGTGCCCATGAATAGTATTTAAAGCTTTATAAATGTAAACGCTAATTATGAATTTTTTTCCACGATATGCAGTAGCGTTGCGGACAATAAGAACTTTCACACTGCCGGTGCCGAATACGATCAGCCGTATCTATATTGTACGTTAACGCAACCTGGAGATAAGGTGAGAAACATTCATTGCATGGTGATTATAAAAATTATTCTTATAAATATTCTAACAATCTTAATAATTTTATTACAAACGAATTTTTTTATTCTATATTCAGCTCATTGAAGCCTTGATCCTGAATTCTTTATTCTTTAAGATCATTTTTCATGAATCTTATGAATCTTAGATTCTAAAGATTTCTTTATTATAATCTTATTTACGCCTTATTTTCTTAAAGTTCCTTGAATTCTTCGATTCCGTATTTCTTGATTTTACATAATTTCCGAGTACTATTTTACAAGTTTTCTAATATTCAGTTTTCATCTGACATGTTTCAGCCTCTTTCCTGCCCGCCGGCCATGCGACTGGTCACCGTACAGCGACAGAACAAGACTCTAAAATATTTGTTACGCGGGGACAGCGAGGGTGTCGTTATTCTCTGGACAGTGCCGGAGGTGACGACGCAACAGCTCGCTCAGATCTGCCAGAATGACGGATCATCACCGCCGACGTTGTCACCGACTGTGAAGACAAGTCTCACCGCTGCCTGGGACGCGATGAAGCCACCTCCTGTAGGGATACTCGATCAGTTGGACACTGGCGACGGCCATGGTATAAAACTCACCGCTTGCATATACCTACCACAGCAGAGTCGACTAGTCGTTGGACGTGAGGACGGTAGCATCATCATTGTGCCAGCGACACAAACCGTGATGCTGCAATTACTCCATGGCAATCATCAGCAGTACGATGGTATCGTATTTTTATTATTTTTTTGTAAAATCTGTATATTTGAAATATTATATGAGTTTCTCTAAATCGTACTTATATAACAAATTAATGCAACATAATATAGAAATAATTAAAAGATGAAAAATATAAATTAACAATTTAAGAGCTAATAACATCATATGCTAGAACTTTGAGTTAATATCAGAATTTTTTTACGATTTAAATTTTCAATTTTGTTTTGCATATATTCAGATTGGCCACCACATCAAGTTCTTCTGGGACATTCAGGGCGAGTAAATTGCTTGCTTTATCCTCATGGCGCGGCACCTCGTTATGATCGCACTCATCTCGTTTCCGGTTCCGTAGACTTTGCAGTCTGTTTATGGGATTTATATGCTGGCACATTAATTCATCGGTTTTGCGTTCATGCTGGTGAAATCACTCAACTGATGGTGCCACCGGATAATTGCAGTGTATATCAATTTGCTTACTTTTGTCGTAAGAATTTATGATGATTAATTTTTAATCGTCAATCAAAATTCATAAGAAATGTTACATGAAAAGTCGATTAAGGATTAATGTATAAAGAAGTTATATTTTCTATTTTTTTTTTGCAGCCTAGGATACAGAAATGCGTTTGCAGTGTTGCGTCGGATCACAGTGTTACATTGCTCTCTTTAGCGGAGAGGAAATGCGTCGTATTGGCTTCGCGGCATCTTTTCCCGGTCGTAACTATTAAATGGAGACCATTGGATGACTTTATGATAGTCGGATGCTCGGACGGTGCCGTATACGTCTGGCAAATGGAAACTGGTCACTTGGATCGCGTACTGCACGGTTTGCTCCATATTTCAACTTGCCTGAGTTTCTTTACTTTACTTTCCTAAATCTTTTCACTTCTTAAGCTCTTAAATTCTCATCTCTTCAGAATCGTGAAGATGTCATGCTTTCTATCTTACGTTACTACATTTTTTAATAATATATAGAATTTGCAAGAACAGCGAATTACGTTCTTTTAGGCATTATTGCAGAAGAGGTGCTCTATGCTTGCGATGAAAACACAATAGCAGCGGCCGGCGGATCCGTCGCCGGCGGTGAACTAGGACTAGCCAATCCTGCTGTGCATTTCTTTAGGTAAATGAAATCTTGCAGCACGGATGGTGAGAATCTTGTGTGTTCTTCAGCGAAGTAAGTCATCCGGGGTAACGTTCTTCGTTACAGTCCGTCCAATTTTTATTTCTCAGGGGTTTGCGCCATCGGAATCTGTCGGCGATTAGACATGCGACGCAAAGAGGGCTACATCAGTTACAACAGCTTCACGGTGGACACGGTCCCGATCATGGAAATCAAATAAAAGCTAAAGGTTCACCGCTGATGATTCAAGGATTCAGAAGTAATCCAAAAGATCCAGAGAGTCATATTCTATTCTTCGATATAGAAGCGCTGATAGGTATGAATCATAAACTATTATTTTCTTTGAGAAAATTGAATTTTTATGTATTTATAATGTATTATGTATGTATTATTATGTATGTATTATGTATTTCTCTTATTTATTTGTTAAATCTTTTTGCAAAAAGATCTGCATTGCAAAAAGATTTTTTATATTAACTTTTAATAATAATTTTTGTTTCTTCGTTACAGTGCAATTACTTAGTGACGAGTATGGTGCCATGTCGCCCAATTCTTTAGAAGCACAAGGACTTATTTCCGCAGCAGAATATCAAAAGGTTGCAGCACTCACTCAATCCGCCAGTCCTGATGCGCATAAGAAAATTGTTGGTAAGTATCTTTTTATGTATTCTAAATGATTAAATTGTAAAATAAAATATGTTATATATTAAAATATGATTATTGCAAGAATTATATTTCTCCGCAGTTCTGTCTCTATTTAAGAATAAGCATTGAAGCTATTTCTATTAATGTATCCCTTTGTAGACTTTTTCGGTCGCGTCAAGGATAAGGCGGGTGATGTTGAGCGAATGTTGAAGGAGAAGGATCGTCACGGTATCGTGTTTTATTATTGTTACTTATTTAACAATTTTATTTATTTTTATATCTTTTCCACATTGAAAAATTTTTTGAATCACTAAAATTTCTATATTAATATCTGATATGAGCTTCACAATAATGTCAATATTTTCATAATTTTGTGTTTTTTAAAATTAAAATTCTGAAAATATTTTATTAATAATTTCTTTGCATAACTCATTAATCGACGTATATAATACATGATATTGTTATCCTTCTTTGTCATAAATTTTAATTTGATTTGTGATTATCAAAGTAAAAAAAGATTATTTGACATTCACTTTGTATTTTATTTTCAAAATGTGTTTTATAGGCTCGTTTTAGTATCGTATAGAAATTTGTTTTTTCACTATTTCATCAATTTTCTTGAAATCATAATTCGACTTTTTATTCTAATTTTTTACATTTCTCGATTCATAAATTTATAATTATAAAATCCTCAGATATCATTTCTTAATTCTTAATAATTTCTTAATAAATAATAAAAGTGAGTTTCTTCAAACGTAAGATTTTTTGTTTTCTGTTAATAGATTGTAGTAATGTTGTAATATTTGTAGTAATATTTCTCTATAAACTTCTTCAGTTTCGATGATCTATGGTAGATCTTTTTGTTGCATTTTCCTTTCGATTCGTACTATCTACAGACAGATTTCTTTCTATAGGTATATTGGCTAAGATGAAGGAAGGTGCAGAGAATGTGCATACTAAATTACAGGCCAAAGCGGAAAGTGTCGGCCTCAAGCCGTCGACATTTGACGGCAAAGGTTAGACATGTGTCTTTGAAAATGACAAATTTTTTTGTTTCACAGTCGCAATTTATCTCGCACGAATTTATTTTATGTTTTAGACAAGAATTCTCTTCCCTTGGAAATGGTTTTTGTGTGATAGTTAGAAATCGTAGTTAGTTCCTTCAAAGCACTAAACACATAGTCTCATCCTCACTATTTGTGCGTGTCTACTTTATATTTTTAACAATTCCATTAGGTTTCTAAACAGTTGGGAGTCACAAACAAAAAAGATGGATCATTAGTATTAAGATAGCTTTAATTTTCTTTATGCACGCTTGGAAGTTTTTATGCAGCATTTTAATATCTTCACTGAATTATATTTCTTGCTTCTTTTTTATTTAGTACTATATGTAATATATACAATGCGTCAAAAAAGTTCAACAATTGTATATTAACTATTACTATTATGCGTGTGTATACATCTTTGTTTATAATTATGCTGTTTGATAGTGAATCTTTTAAAAATTTTATTTGATATATTTTTAATAACATCTATTTATTTTTTCGTTAAATTTTTGTTTTCCAGTGGTGTTACATCGTAACTGTTCTTGCTATTTTGCTGAATATTATTAAAAATTATTATATTTATATTTATTTGACGTTTCTAGGCGACAATTGGAATAATAGCGATGCGGCAAAGAATAATCTGAAGCGAAACGGTGCATTCAGCGAACCGAACGCGACAATGGAAGTAGCGCAATTACTTTTAAGCCTTCTGCATGCATGGGGCATGGATCCAGACTTGGATCGAGTTTGCGAAGGAAAATTGGGTCTATTGCGGCCTATGGTACCTGTTTCATTTGGAGTATTATCTAAGGGAGGTATGTTTCACTATGAAGTTTTAATATACATTTAAGTAAAATCATTTGTTACAATTTGTATGCAGTCGTTAAAATATTTTTACCAAAGATTCTCTATGTCTAAGATTTATTTATTAGGTGTACAAAAAAGTTCTGAGCTTTAGATTTCATACAATCGAAATAACAATTTAAATTTTATATATCTTTCCGCCCTTTTGCGGTTTTAAAGCGTTGACATTTGGCCTTCTAAAATGCCATGCGGTTTGGCGTTTGATGCACATAATCTCAAAAATCAGTAGTGTTCACGATGGCAATAACAAAAGAGCATATTCGATTTTCCATCCACTTCGCGTTTCATCTGAAGAAAAATGCTGCTGAAGTTACTGCAATGATTTGTGCTGCATATGGAGAAAACGCTGTAAGTGATGCTACATGTAAAAGATGGTATCAAAAATTTCGCCAAGGAGATTTCAGTCTTGAAGATGAACCGCGTGCTCTCAAAAGATTGAAACGGACGAATTGCAAGTATTGGATGCAAGCGTTGGATATAAACTCTGCATAAACTGAAAAGTAGCTTGCAGAACAGCTTGGTTACGCAGCAAACCATTTCCGTACGATGGGAAAGGTTCGGAAGGAAGGCAGATGGGTTTCCGCATTGTCCGAAGACAACAAAAATCGTCGGCGTGACACTGCACTCACTTTGCTTTCAAAGTTCTGGAAAAAAGATTTTCTGCACAAAATCATTACGATGGTAGGAGGCGATGAAAAGTGGATTCTTTATGATAACCCTAAACGTAGAAAATCATGGGTTGACCCTGGTCAACCTTCGACATCGACGCCAAAGCCCAATATCCACGCCAAGAAGGTTTTGCTCTGTATCTGGTGGGATTGGAAAGGTGTGTTGTATTACGAGTTGTTACAACCGGGTGAAACAATCACGGCAGACCGCTACCAACAACAATTGACCAATTTGAGCGATGCATTAGAAGAAAAGAGGCCATTTACTGGCCAAGGACGTCGTAAAGTGATCTTGTTTCAATGCTCGACCACATGTTGCGAAAATGACTCAGGACCATATCTTTACGTTAGGCTGGGAACTTCTTCCGCACGCGGCGTATAGCCCAGACATAGCACCTTCCGATTACTACCTATTCCGGTCGCTGCAGCATCATTTGGCTGATACACATTTCGTGAGATTTGAAGAGATACGAAAATGCATTGATGACTTTATCGCTTCGAAGCCGGTGAGCCTTCTTTCGTCAAGGAATTCGCAAGCTACCCGAAAGATGGCAAAAGGTCGTTGATGCAAATGGGAAATATTTCGCTGATTAATATTTTTTTGTTTGTTTTTGAATAAAGATTGAATTTTACAAAAAAAGAACTTTTTTGTACACCTAATACATTACATATATAAATAATTTTTTTATTTAATATGAAATATATTTTTATATTTTTTATATTTTTATATAAAATAGAATGGTACTGTGTGCAACAAATTTTTATAATCTAGTGTTAAATACTTAGAAAAGATTGTATACTGTAGGTTACATGTCACTATTGTTACCAACTTGGCAAACACAGCTCGAGCCAGTCGGTGAACCTGCAACTCAATTAGAGCAACGCTTGCCAGCTGAATTAGTTCGGCAAGAAAGACTCACTAGAGCATTTACGGCAAGAGCTCACTGGGAATTGTCGACAACTCTAACGAGTAATCATTTACTAGCGGTAGTCGCTTTAGCGAATACTTTAATGTCGATGAACAATGCAACGTTTGTACCTGAACAAGAACGAAACCGCAAGATGCATAGGTAAATTAATTAAATATTTAAATAATATTTATTAAATATTATTTAATATTAATTAAATATTTAAATAAAGTATGACCAAATTAATAATAATAACGTGCAGTTTTTTGATTACTTCAACGTAATTATATATTACGTTGGTAAAAAAAAATTATCTGAATATTTAATATATAGAGAGATTTGAAATAAAATCTGAAAAGTAAATTTGTATACGTAGGCCAGGCAATAGAGGAGCAGTAAATTGGAATAAGACAGAAGAGGAAAATGAGGAAATGTATACAGTACAACAAGCACAAATCAAGCAAGGATGGTCTCTTCTAGCTACATTGCACTGTGTATTATTACCTGATAAAGTTGCAGCGCAAGGTGGTGCGAAGACCTTCAAACGGCCGCAAGTGGAGATGATGGCACGAAGATGGCAACATCAATGTGTGGAGGTTCGTTATTAAATCATCAAAGATATTCTCATTTTACTTAATGGACTTTTCATCTTTTTCGGCTTCAAAAAATCGATTTTTTTGTCAATTTTTATTTCTATGTATAGAAATGTATAGAATATTCCTATAAAAGGATTTTTTTAAATTCGCAATAGGTTAAGAAGATACGAGCTCAAATATGTGGTAATTCAAATATATAATTACATGCAAAAATCCGTATTTTTTCATATAGAACACATTCCTCAAAAAAAAATTAATAAAAATAAGCTAATTTTAGGATCGTCAAGAATGAGATTCCTTAATCATTTCTAATGACAAATCATTTAAAATTAGTTATGAAAAATTAAATGATTATCACTTTCTTATTTTCACGGAATACATTGCACAATATTTTTAATAATATTTTAGATTCGAGAAGCAGCGCAGGCTTTGTTGCTCGCCGAGCTAGGCAGAATGGGCTCAAAAGGTCGCAAAGCTCTCGTTGATAATTGGTCACAATATTTGCCAATGTATAGTACGCAAGAACCGATCGTGCCACAACCACAAAGCCAAACTTCACCGGCAGCCGGAAGTCCGGTACCACCGACCGAATCGCAACCGGAAGAAGAAGATGAAGAAGAAGAATTAGCCGAAGGTGAGCCTGTTGAAGAGCATTTTCTTCTAAACAAAGTAGTGAATAGAAAAAGAGAAACAAATATATAAGAATGAGCATAAAAGGAATGGATTTTTAAAAATCTGCAAATATAATCTGTTTCTTGGCAGAGCTAAGTGTAGCGAGAAAGCCATCGAGTGTTGCGGAATTGAAGCGAAAACAAACCACGGCTGTGGTTCTGCTAGGCGTGATAGGTGCTGAATTTGGTCAGGATGTAACTACGACAAACCAAAGAAGAGATAATGAGCAAAGACGAAAGAGCTCAATCGTAGAAGGCTTCGGCATAGGAAATAATAATCTTGCCAGACATACCAGCATGGCACTCACTCATTTATTACACGCACCTCATTCACCGAAGTTACCAATGCACACGGCTCTACGAAGAGCCGCAATCGATCTTATTGGCAGAGGATTCACCGTGTGGGAACCCTATCTTGATGTATCCAAGGTAAAAAAATATTTTAAAACAATTATTGTGATATTGTGTATTTCAATCCTCTTCATCATTTATTTTGTGCTTAAATAAATTTTGATAAATTAATGATAATAATAAAATATTTTTATTGTTAAAGTAAACAGATCCTAATTGTGACATAAAAAAATTTATTATAAAAAAAATCTTGTTTTTATTCAAGTATAAATGTTTGCATGTTTAATTTTAAAATTTTTAATTATTGTTTCTTATATCCTTATAGGTTCTATTAGGTCTATTGGAGATGTGTTGTGATGCAGACAAGTTAGTGCCGAATCTAACATACGGCCTTCCTCTTACGCCACAAGCTGACACTTGTCGCACGGCACGTCATGCTTTAACGTTGATCGCTACCGCCAGACCAGCTGCCTTTATTACTACGATGGCTCGCGAAGTAGCCAGGTTTAACACTCTTCAACAAAATGCCCAAACCTTAAATGTTAATTTAGGTGCAAGCGTGTTAACCAGAGCGAAGCCAGAGATTCTCAGGATCGTCGAACAACTAATTGACAAGATGCAGAGTGAGATGAGCGATCTTCTCGTAGAGGTATCTAGTTTTTAAAAAGCATTATTGTATAAAAAGAAGGAAAAATTTAATCTACTTACTATCTTTATATTATGCTTTGTACATTTACAAACAACAATAATATATCTGTTTATTAATTCGCATATAATTAATTATGTTTGCAGGTTATGGATATTATTCTACATTGTCTTGATCCAGGTCATTTAAAGATGAAACCTTTGAATGAAGTATTTCCGGCAGTGTGTAGATTTAATCAAGTAAGTCACACAACAGAATACAACCAGAATTTTTCGACAAAATTAAAAGATAAAAGATTCAATATTGTAATTTTATGATTAAAGTTTCGTCATTTAATAAATTTTTATTAATCATTATACATAAAAGAATGAAAAGAATTTACTATTTCCAATATTTTATTTTATATTTTATACGTAGTATAGATGTTCACAACTCAATTTTATACGTAGTATAGATGTTCACAACTCATTTTTTTAAACTTTTCATTCACAGGTCAGTCATTGTCCGGCAACACGCAGGATAGCGGTTGGTGGTCGCAGTGGTCAATTAGCGTTATATGAATTGCGAGGTAATGTCAAATGCCAAACTGTTCCTGCTCATTCTGCATCGGTTACCGCATTGGCATTTTCACCAGAGGGGAAATTTCTCGTTAGTTATTCTTGTTCCGAGAATAAGCTGTGTTTCTGGCAGGTAAGTGCCAGTAAAAGTCTGACAATATCTAATTTCTTCTAACTTTTATTAAAATTTATTCTTAGATTACTCTCATTAGCAATTGATTATGAAGCATTAATAATTGAAGATTTTGACAAAATTATATCGTGATCTTACAGCAAACTAGCAGTGGCATGTTTGGCTTGGGCAACTCGCAAACTCGTTGCGTGAAATCGTATAGTACCGCGCCCATCAATGACGTCGCCCGATTAAACCCTATGCGGTTGGCACGGTTGATTTGGATCAACAATCGCACAGTTACCTTAATGCTCGCCGATGGTTCGGAAACTCGCTTCAACGTTTGAATGTCGCGCGAGATCGATCTGAAATTACCAACCGCTTCGTTCAACAAGCGAAAGTAGCTTATTCGCTGTTTAGCGTTGATCGCATCGATCGAACCTGGTTTATACAATGTTCTCTTCGTTAATAGATTTTTTACAGAAATACTAATCAACAGCAGCGACAGTTTTAAATGAGCAAGCTAGTTTAATAATATTTCAAGTTAAAAAAAAATATTTCGTATTCTTTTAGAAAAATGCTTAAAATAAGAAAATAAATAATTTTACGGTTTAAAAAGTAGATTAATTTAAAGAGAACATTATATATGTAAATCATGTTTTACTGCTAACTAATATTAATTTCTTTCTCTGTTTACAATATTGAAAGATAAAAATATCATTTTCAGTGTTAGCTGATCGAAGCTGTCGGCGCGGCTTTAGTCAAAATAATTTGCGCGTTAACCAGGAGTGCCGTCGCCGATTTCGGCGCGCTCATTGGTACTTAATTGATAAGTAATTCTAGTATTGAAGAATAATTGGATTGTTTCTCTATATATATTGTTGTTATGGCTGTCCGATTTCAATCTATTTAGAAATCCATCTATCTAGGAATATTCTTTTAGATAAAGTCAAGATCAGACAGCCTTACTTTTTTGAATATTGTCTTTCGTCGGCAATAGTTTCTCACGTAAATCATACAAGATCAGAGAGATTATGCGACACGAATTTGTTCCTGCAAATCCCTCGGAAGTTGCGTGTTTTGTAAAATATAGTATATAGTTTGTTGCATAGCTACAAAATTTTAGTTTTATTAACAAATATTCTGTCATAATTTAGATAGTCATAGAAATAAGGATAGTTTCAATCTGCCTTTTTAAACTATAAAGTCACATAAGAGAACATTCTATTGTATTTTTATCCTGTATATATTGCTTGAAAATACATCGCGACTTCCGGCGGATTAGATTAGCATGTTTCGCAACTTCTCTTCATTAACTTCCTAGGATCCACTGAATTAGATTGTTTAAGTTCTCAGATTTCTTGTGTTTACGTATCGGACGTTAAGATTGCGTTGTTTTGAAATCGTGCATTTCTTGATTTACGTAAAAATAAAATGTGAATAAGAAAAATAGTAGAACACGACTCTTATTCGGAATCTTCGTCATATTTAATACCACCTATGTTAATTTGACGAATATTCCACAATTGATTAACCGATATTAGTATTTATTTCATTGTATAAAATAGGACGAAATGCGAGAATGTCGATTCTTCGAAATCGGTCGATGAAGACACTTCATCATCGCTCTTCTCTCATCCCGAATAGAAAATTCTTTCTCTTTCTTTCTCTCTTTGTTTGCGAGCGACAGAGAGTCATAGGATATATATAGGATTAATTTATAGTATTTTTAGTGTGCACGCGCACACACAAATTCAGTATATCATATCGTACAAACATGTATCGGATATATCATAAGTCGCGTGCAAATCTTCCTTTTTTCCAATCGATTACGGAAAATATGATTTTAAAGTAAAGTGAAGTAAAGTATCTTATTTATTTACAAATCTGTAAATTTTCACATTTTTTAAGTGCGTAAGATTCGTGATTCATTCCGCATCAATTTTGCGATTAATGAAAAATAATCTTGTTTGAGCTTGGATATTTATCCCAAAATTATCGGTAATACATGAATGTTTCCCGATCGCCCTTTCTCCGGTTAAAAGATTAGCAAACAAAATTGAAAAAATACGTGGATATGTGCAATCGCCTTTATAATTTTAAACTATTATCATAGAGTGTAAGATTGTGCCAGCAAAGTGCTCTCTGGCTTTATTATTTTTAAAAATCAACCAATTTCAAATATTGAAATTATCATTTATAAATTGTTTTTAAAACTCGCTATTATTGTAGCATATTTAATGGGCGACGAATGCGGCCACTTGCGTGATTCTGAGTTTTACTAATTTAATGTACAAAGAGAGTAATTCTTTGAAAAGGCTAAATTAGAAAAAAAATCGTTCTTAGTCGTTTTAATTCATTTATAAATGTATTAGCTATCTTAGTAAGCTAAACTTTAAATGTCATTAACACAAGCATATATAAATTCAAGCATAAGAACTTTATTTCTTTAATTTGCAAAATATCTAATTTTCAATTGTTCGTAATTGAAATAGCATTCATGCTTTGATAGTTCAATTAGAGAAAAAGATTGATTTTAAATTAAGTAGAATATATTTGTATCTCTCGATGTTCCCATAATAATTTAAAATATTTTCATCATAGTGCATTATCATTTATTCATTATATTGCGCATTACGTATATCGTTATATTTATTACATCTAGTGCAATCGCCTTGATTACAGTGTTGGTTACATCACGCAGGCGTGTCCGGGATTGGCATTCACTTGTAAAGCACTTCTTCAAATGTCTCCTCATTGAGATAAACTCGAAAGAGAATGATTTATTTCATTATTTTCATTTTGACTAATAATTTAAATCCATATAACTTCTTACATTTTCAAATTTTCAACTCATTTTCTATGAAATTTAAAGAAAATAAAAACATCTATAAAATTAATTTTTTTCTCTGTTATTATTACTTATTATTACTTATTTTTCTTTTCTCTTTTTTATTTTATTTAAAATTGACAAAGTCCAACTCTCGCCTCAATTCCACGAAACTGATGCATTCTGATAACATTAGTTCAAATAGTTGATTGAGCACGGGAACGAGTTATCTGATTGATTGCGGGCGATGTGTACATAAAGACGAACTGCGCCTAATTGTATTTATGTAATTACGTTGTACTAAATTATGCGTATTATGCACCATCAGTTCAGGAGAGTGGAGCATATTATATATTATACCAGATAATATATCTATTTCATCTCACTTGTAATTGTCAACGAATGTAATAAATGAAAAAACTCTGGATTTTATCGATTTTTTTTTTGCTTATATCTGATTTTTTTCTTTTTGAGAATTTATTATCGTCTTAAACAGTAATCAAGAAATTATATCTGATAAAATGTATGTTTTGAAAAAGATAGAAACAATAAAGATAAAACAAGAAATAAAAACTTAACATTAAAGAAATAAAACTTAACATTAAATCGTAATTACAATTTAGATATTTCAATCATATTGTGATTCAATAGAATCGGAACAAAAATATTATATAATTTAAAATACCTATAAATAATTTCAACGATAAGACTTTAAAGTTTCTTATATCGACAATAAAAAGAAATATTACAATTGTAATCAAAAAATTAAAAATATAAAAACATTTATTATTTACATCGGTATATAAGCATAATCAACTTTTAAAATTATATTATTTTAAAATTATATTATTTCTAAAAATGTTTAATTCAAAATCCATAATTTTTTAAAATACTTATATTTTTACTACGTTTTGGTTTCATTTTTATAAATTATATAAGTGTTTGATAAAATATACAACTTTGAATTTGGAAGAAACGTAATGAGAAGTTTAGCGCACGTTATAAAAATGTTTGTTAAAATCTGAAACAAAAGATTTTTGCGTTCTATTCTAGAAGTACGCATGAATCAGAATGTTCTGCATATTTATTATAACGCATATAAGAAGCATAGACGAAGATTAAAGTGCACACGAAGTATATTAGAATATCTTATATATTATTTATAGAGCGTAAACGAAGTTTTAATCAATGAAGCGTATGAGATGTATACTGAGATACAAGTATTGTAGTTATTATTGCGAAATTTAAGATGATTTAGATTCAAATTTAGATTCAATATGCAACTCAAGGACAATAACTAGTAATCAGAAAGAATTTATTCATAGAGAGACACATTGATAATTTCACTAAATCCAACGTTTAAAACATTTAACGTTTTAAATCTGACATTCGATGTTATATAAAAGGAGCTCAAATTTTATTTGTAACACCTTTATGTAAACTTAAACTAATTAAATTAGCAATTAAAATTAATAAAATTTATTATATAATTAATTAAATATTTTCAATACTTTTTTAATTATTTCGCCAAAACATTTTTAAGCTCATCTTTAATTAATAAGAAATATTCTTCCGTGACATCATTAAGAACATTAATTATATTATCTTCTGTTAGATTTTTATATGTATTTTCATCTAAAATATACATTCGTATAATAGTATAATTAATTGTATTTCATAAAAAAACATTGCATTATATATAGATTCTATTCTTACCTCTAATTGAAAAATGTCCCAAAAGTTCGCAAGCTCCAGTTAAAAATGCAGTTGTATCTTTAACATCGGTTATTGACTTTCTAGCCCAAATATAAACACGAATGTCATCATACAATTCATCATTAGGTTTTGATTTTGCTCGTGTAATACACACGTTATGTGCCACTTGACGTGATTGTAAATGATTCACTACAGAGAATATGCGAGATACAAAATCCGTAATACTTTTAAAATCAGATAATTTTAGACAGAATCCTTTGGCTGGATAATCTATTAATAAATGTATACCAGGAATATAACTGTGAATATTCTAAAACAAGATAAATATCTATAATATATTTATTATAAACATTTATCATAAGTATTGCTGAACTACCTACAATATGTTCAAGAAGCATTTCATTTTTCAAATAGTATAAATGCCAGTGTAAATGATTAATAGAAGCATGAGCACAAAGACCATTAAAAATAGCTCTTAAAGACCTAAAACAATTTTTTTCATTATTTCATATGTTTCATATTTAGATGAATGCTTCTAATATAATAATAATTACCATGTATTACTTAATAGAAATAATTCTATTACTTTGCGGAGACTATACTCTGTCATGATTTGTGGCAAACATTTCAAACGTTCTGTAAGAACTAAACAATGACCCTGTTCTAAAGGACTGGCATTAATTGCAATTATGTCGTTTGTGTCGCCATTTCCTATATCAAATAATATTTCTTGCTGTGTTAATTTAGTAAAATTAAAACCTATAGAGTTAAAAGGCTGTAGTACAGATGTAATTAATTCTGGGTCACGTCTCTTCTGAGATCTATCTGGATTTAACTGAAAATGTCATTGTGTTATATATTAGATTAAAATCATTTTTTATATATATCTGCTCTAATAAATATACCTGCATCAAAAATCTGTATTTTCCTTCCAATATTTTACTATCTCTTATATTTAAAATATATCGGGATGCTTTAACTTCTTCAGCCTGATTCCATTTTTGTCGTAGGAGCCTATCAAGTGAAGATTCATCCCTCTCATATAATTTAATGGCAAAATTAAAATTTTTTGTATTATAGACAAATGTTGTAATTTGTTCATATGAAAACATATTGTATAACTGTGTGACTTAATGTATTGAACAAACTATAAAAATAAATACAGTCTAAATAAAAAATATATAGAAATAGATTTATGGCAAATTCGATCACTTGCACTACCTTCCACTTGTGCACATTTAAAAACAATTAATAGTAGTTATGTAATTAACAAAACAACATAATCATCTTAAAATATTTAACATTAATATTTATATTTTAATAGAATGCACATTGGATATTTTAATGCTCATAGTAATTATTTGTGTAACAATGTGCAATACGTAAATATTGTTAAGTACAGTAATTCTTATATTTATTTTTTAGAATTCACCAGCAAAAAATGATGCAAAGTAGTGCAAGCAACCAAATTTATTATTACAAAATTGGTTTTATTATAATTGCAATATATTATATATTTTTTTACATTTAACTCTATGATTTAACACTATGATTTGGAGTTTTACATACCCAATGATGAACACAATGAACACGATGAACAGAAAATGAACAGAAGATTAAAAGGTCTTAAAGGGCAAAAGATTATTCAATATACAAAAATTAATCAAAAGTACAGAATAAAATTTTTTTCATATTATGCTTCGATTCCACTGAAAAAAATATATTTGTAGCGTTGCCGGCATACGTTAATTTGCAATTTCATCACCGACACTGACTCATTTTCGAGTGCACGAAGGTGTAGATCCACAGTCAAACTCAAGACAGCTGACTGGCGATCGCTCGATCCGCGCGTTCAAAGACGAACGTCGCTTTTGTCAAAATCTCATCAGTTTGTCGCTAAAAATTTTGCAAAACCGCAAAGATGTCACAGCAAGAGCCTCCTTATTGTGTAACGGCGTACGATCTGGCATATCGTGGTAAAACCGGAGCTCTAATGATTCTACTGAGCGAGAACGAGCGGCTGAAAACGCAAACGGATAGCGTTCGTATCGCGCAGCGTCACATGTCATGCGTATATTTGAGGTTATATCGTGACTTTTCTTCTTGCAGAATGGCCGAATGTTGATACATTGGGCGGCGCTGGGCGGTCATGACGATCTGGTTAGGCATTTATTGTCTCTTGACGTACCGGTGGATCCCACGGATGACGTAAGAAATCGTTACACATCACAAGTGATAAATTGTGTTGTGATTATAATTCATTACTCCTCTTGATATGAGGAGTTTTTGGGATTTCTAACAAAATACAGGTCAATCACAGAGTCTGTTCTTTTTAGCTGGGAACCGGCTGCACTAGTTCAGAGTTTATCTTTCTTTTTCCAATGTAAGAAAGAAAGATAAATGATGAACTAGTACAATCAGTTCAGGAATAAAAAACAAACCTACAATTCGTATTGGCGTGCTGTTGTAAAGATTGGTATACAGAACAAAATTTAAACAATGAGATTTAAATAGCGAATTAGTCAGTCAGAATCAAACATTCTTGATAATTCTACATTCTGATTAGTTCATTCATTTACTACAAAAGTATTGCTGCTTATGTTTTTTTTTTTATATGCTACTAGCTGCTAATATTATGCATGACAATAATAGCAAATTTAAGGTAAATTTTATAAATAATTTAAAAATAAAATATATACAATCTGTTTGTCCTAATTGTAAGTTGTAATAATTGCAACTGTGTTGTTTTTCAAAGTTGAGTTTCCAATTGGCCATAAAGCACGTCCAAAAAACTACGATCGCACGAAGTAATTGTGAACAAGTTTCTCATTGGTCGAGATATCACACGTAAAAGTTTTTTGTTTCAACTTTCTTGAAATTTTTCTTTTTGCTCTTCCCCAAATCTCGAAATTTCTCTGTTTTAAGCGCGCTATGATCAGATAAAATTAATTAATTTTGCGTGTAACAATTCTGAATTTAGAGTGACGCAGCAAACGCATCACTGTTCACTACCGAATTATTTCGTCTAAAAAAATGTTAAAATTTATAATCATTATATGTAAATGAAAAGATTTTATTTCCACAAGGATTATACGTGACTGATAACTTTAATTAAAATGTACGCATATTTAAAATATTTAATAACAATTCGTGGCACGTGCTGAAGTTTAAATCAACTTTATTTTTATATCTTAAAATATCATATCTTTTTGAGGAAATCATAATGCTTGCATACTACGCACTGGCCACTAAAAACTCCTATATCTCCAAACTAAAGTCTATATAGACCGTGTACATTGGTAACAAATAAATAGTACAATAATGTACATTTTCTAAAAAATATTTCATTTTTATAAAAAGTACTTCAAAATGCATCATCTATCATTAATAGCAGTCAGCAGCATAGTCAAATTTCCATGAATCATATAGATCTAAAAAACGCCCCTAAAATTATAATTTAAAGAAACTCTAATTAACAATTAAGTTAACTTTAACATTATCAAGCAAAATCTTACAACTCCATAGAACTATTCCATCCCTCGCTTCGAAAGGCCTATCGAAAGAAAGATGGAGATCTTAATAATATACAACACTTGATGACGTATAATTATATTATAATTTTTCCAAAGATCATTTATAAGAAAAAAAACTTATAAGAAAATAAGTATAAAGCGAAAATGCGTCTAAAATGCATCGCGCGTTGCGTTACATTTCTTTTGCATATCCTGTTCTTTCTATTTATCTCTCTTGCTCACTCATACGCGTAACGCATGTCGAATTAATCGCCAGACTTTCATTCCTTTGTTGCGTCGGCTAAATCCTCGCACGAAATCAAACGTTAATGGCTGGTCGTGCTTTTAAATCATGCAGACAAACATGACTCCGCTGATTCTGGCGGCGTCCGCCGGCCGCGAAAAGGTTGTCAACACGTTGCTGATCGAAGGAGCGAACGTGAACGCGACGACGATCGACGGTCATTCGGCATTGCAGTACGCCGCGTCGAAGAACTGGAAGTCCATCTGTGTGGCGTTGCTCAAGAAGGACGCAGATGTGAACATCGCGGACAAACGGGGCGCTACACCTCTTCACAGAGCCGCGTCGAAAGGCAATATCGCCATCGTGGAGCTCCTCGTGGAGTTTGGGAAAAAATTGAACATAGGTAGCGGAGTGTCTGTGTGTTATTGAAATGCAGTTCTCTCATTACAGTATAATAATATATAAAATATCAAATATAATCTATATATATATATATATCTATATATAAATATTTCCGATTATAACTTATAAGAGAAGTACAAAGGTTCGCTAGCTCTCCCTTGAAACATCGATACTTGAATTTCATGCATTCGTTTCGTGCTATCTCGTGTTTTTCTTTTTCCCTTTTTTTTTTTTTTTTTTTTTTTCTAGATCAGAGAGACGCATACGGCAATACGCCGTTGCATCTCGCTTGCGAGGAGAACCGCGTGGAAGAAGCAAAACTGCTGACGACGCACGGCGCGGACTTGACGATCACCAATAAGGAGCGCAAGACTCCGTTGGATCTCGCAAGTCCCGGATTGGTCCGACAGCTCGAGGAAATCAAGCGAGAGACTGCGTCGAAGTAGAACGCTTTCTCGCGCGAATTTTTTCATACGACAAGTTTACGTGCGGTTTAAGTTTCGTTAAATAAGTCTTCAATAAATTTATCCATGATTAAGAATTTCCTTCTCAGAATTTATTTTCCCTTCTTTCTTTTTCCTTCTCTGTCTTTTTCATTCCATACTCTTGTTTTCTTACATATATGTAAAATGCGGTCAACGTTTGCGTTCGTTCTATATAAAATGTATCAAAAGTCCTCTATTCGATTATTTTCGTTTTCATTTTCGCTGCATGCTTCGCCTGTCCTGGCTCTTTCTTTTGGATCGTCGGCACCTCATCGGTCAATCGAACACTCTCGGATCGTTAACTCGTCGCAATAATCTTAAGGCCAGAAACACCATGGGATATCGTAGAAACGACTTTTGATTGTAATCGCTGGAGCTGATCTCGAGACATGATACTCGAGACATTAGCTGAGACATTAGTCCGCGTGACGCGCCGAATCGAACAAAAAAACCAACACCCTCTCGACGCACGTATATACATAATTCACAGAGGTTCGAGAGCACATTGGATTGACCCCGATACTCAATTGGCATTCTCCTCGCCATCGATGCTCTCGTCCTGCGTCGTCGAATCGTCGCCCGAGCCGCCGGTCTGTACGGAACCGCGTTTCAGCCTCGTAGAGCTCAGACTTATCGGAGGTCCACCGCGCCTTTAAACAAATTATTACATTACATTAATTAGACAGTGTGTTTATCCATGACGGAGGTATGCGTAAATAACAAAAATATGCATCATCAGTCAGTAGTTTAAATATATTTTTGTTTTCTTTAATTGTTCGATTTAAAATCTTCTATATAAATATAAAATATATAAATATAAATATAAAATTTAATTTAGTCCTGAATATTAATAATATATTAAAAATTAAGTGTAAAATAATATTTTGTGAGATGTACAAGTATTTTCAATTAAATATAAGTAAAAAATTTATTGAGCACTTATTAATGAAAAAATAGGCAGATTACAATCTGAATAAATTTACATTTGTAGTCGTCGACTGATAATAAGAAATTTGAAGAATGGAATCTTTTTATCATAAATGGGAAATCAATTTTTTAGAAAGCATTTTGTCAAACCATTGACCGATAGTATAAGTCAAATAAATATGAAAAAAAAACACATTCACAAACAACTGCATTCAAGGGATGCCAAAGGAGTGAAGTATGTCGTTATCACACAAAGGTAGCAGTCCAAGTTGATATTATTATTTTCAGGGTTAGCGGTTTCAAATTAACCAAAAGAGCTCGTTTAACTCACTGTAGCACACTGGGGACACTAATGGGATTGTTTCCTAGCAAAAAACTCTCTCAGGTAGGATACCAATCGTTTTTTCTCTCTTGACACCTACACATGTCAGAAGTTGATCACTTCCTTCAAAGATAAAACACTACTTTAATACTGCCTCATTACGTTCGCCTAAGGTTACAGATACGTATGGCCTAAAAAGTGTAACACAAAAGAATACATATGTAAATCCAAGGAAATAGTATCCTCTTGTTAATATCCTTCTTAACATTCTTCGACCATTACATAAACTCTTTACTCCTGAATCTTTTAGTATTTCAAAGACTTCTTGATATTTAAAAAATCTCTTCCATGTGTGTGCGTGTGTGCATAAGATAGAATAAGAAAATGAAATTACCTTAATTTATTCTTTAGATGCGTCAATTCTCGCGTGAGCTCTTCGTGAGATTCTATCATGTCGTCCATCTCCCGTTGCGCTTTTCGTTTCATGGTCTTGTGCCTGCTGATTTCTTCCTCCGCCTCGTCCAATTGTCTCTTCAGCGCCTTCATCCTAGCGTTAACTTTCTCCGCCTGTTCTTTATACTGATCGGAATTTCGTCTCTCGTCCTCCAACTGGAGACTCAATTCCTTCAATTTCTTTTCCAATTTGCGATTGATTTTCTGCTGAGCGAATCTCTCCTTAGCTTCAGTTTCGAGTTGCTCGTCAAGATTGTTGATCTTCGATTCCAGTTGTTGTATCGTAGCCTTAGTCTTGGCGCGTTGCGCAGTTTCCAGCTCAGTCAATTTGGCCTTGAGTTCCTTATTCTGTCTCTCTAAAAGCATCTTGTGTGACTCCAACTTTTGTGTGGTAGATCGCTCAGTTGCCAAGTCCGTTGTCAATTGCTCGATCATAATCTGACCCTTTCTAGCGCGATCCATCACAATCTCGGCGTTTGACTGCTCTTCCTCTAGTTCTTCCTCCAGAGTAGCGATTCTTGCTTCTAGTCTACGTTTTTCATCCAACATCAAGGTGCCCTTGTTGGCGTTGTTATTGACTTCTTCCTGCAGTTCGTCTCTTTCATTCTCAGCGGTTCTTCTGGCACGTTCGCTGCTGGCAAAGTCCTCGGTCAATTGCAACAAATCAGCTTCTAAACTCTTGACTTTCCTCTCGGTTTCTTTAGAAGCAGCCGCCAGTTCGTCCCTGGCAGCTCTGGCTTCCTCCGTCTCTCTGGTGCAATCTTTGATTTGAGCTTGGAGTTTCTTCAGCTGTTTGAGTGCATCTTCTTTCACTTTATTATGCATCTCCAACTGCTGCTCGATATCCTTGTAATCCGCTTCCATTTTTTTACGGGCCGCGATAGCCGCAGCACGCTGTTTCCTTTCATCCTCAAGCTCTGCTTCAAGGTCGCGGAGCTGTTTGACTAATCCCCGACGTTTCTCTTCCGCTTGTTCTTCCTTAGTCTGAAGATCACGCTCGAACTGAGCTCGCAAAGCTTGCATGTTTACTTCCAACCGCAGTTTAGCATCCTCGGTGAACTGTAACTCATCCTCCAACTCTTCTACCTGTGACTTTTGCTCCTGCAGCTGCGACTCCAATGAACGTTTTGCTTTCTCCAATTCGTGGACATTCTTATCAGCAGTACCTTGATTATTAACCAACTCATCCAATTCCGATTGTAGACCTCTACGGCCCCGTTCAAGTTCCTCAACTTTCTCATTAAGCTCGTCCAACTCGCGAGTCAACGATAACACTCTTGTCTCCTTCTCGCGCGCCTCCCTTTCCGCGGCATCTCGTTGCTCCGCGTACTGCTCGGACACTGCCTTCTCCTCGGCCAACACTTTGTCAAAGTTCTTCTGCTTCTTTTCTAATTCGAGTACCTTCGCTCGCTGCGCCTCCAATTCGATGATACTGTCCTCCAGTTCCGCCTGGATTTTTTTCTTCGATTTGTCCAGCTTATCATTGGCTGCCTGTAACTCTTCGACTTGTCGTTGAAGAGCTTCAATGTCCTTTGTGCAGCGCTTCCTGGCTTCCTCAAGAGCGGCAGCTGCCTCTGCTTCATCATCGGCACGTTTCTTGGCTTCGGCCAATTGTACATTCAGACTCAGCATTTGCTTGTCCAAGGCACGTTTTGCTTCCTCTTCTTCCTCAAGCTGATCGTGTAAACTTTCTTTCTCACTTTCTAGCGCACGCAACTTCGAACTAAGGGCCAACTTTTGTCGAGTTTCTTCTTCTAATTGTTGTTGAAGTTCGGTAAACTGAGATTCACAAGTGGCTGACGCTTTTAATGCTGCGGATGCTTTTAATTCAGCAGTTTCCAGTTGCTGCATCACACTTTCCGCTTCTTGTTGCAATTTCGTTACTTTCTCGGCCAATTCTTGTTTATTTCGTTCTACCTCGGCCAGTTTCGCGTTTATCTCCGCCAGCTGTTGCTCCGCTTGTTTACGGCGACGATCAGACTCCTGCCTGCTTGCGCTGACCGATCTTAGTTCCGTAGCTAGATCAGCATTCTCAGCCTCCAAGGCTCCTTTCGCCTTCTCTAAGACTGCTTTCGTTTTCTTCAACGCGTCCATCTGTTCATTCAGAGCAGTCAGTTCTTGTGTATGCTTATGACGCATATCGGCCAACGTGGCTTCATGCAATGACGTCTCCTCTTCAAGGTTCTTTTTCAACGTCGCGAGTTCTTGCTCTCGTTTACTTCTCAACTCCTGTTGAGCCGCGGTAGTGTCCAGAGAATCAAGCAATTCGTTCTTCAATGCTTCAAGTTCTTCATTCAGATCGCGCTTCTGTTTCTCCGCTTTTCCTCTAGCCGCCTTTTCAGCTTCTAAATCTTCTTGAAGCTCGGCTAATTGTGATTCCAATTCTCTAAGCGCTTTTTGAGCCTGAGCTTTAGCGGCACCTTCTTCATCCATTTTTGCCATGACCTGATTGAGTTCTTCTTCGCGTTTGCCGAGTTGAAGCTGCATTTCCTCAACTTGCGTTTTCCTCTCAGCCAATTGCTCCTTCAAATCCGAAACTTCGGTCTCGACTTTTCTCTTAGATCTATCTACTTCTTGTCGTTGCTGATGATCTTTGAGAAGTCTCTCTTCAAGGTCGGCGATTGTCGCTTCGTGCTTAGCCTTTAATTTCGACAAATGTTTTGCCTTCTCCTCTTCCTCGGCCAAGGTCTGTGAAAGATCATTGGCACGTTCCTCAAGAATCTTTTTCTCTTTCAACAATTTTTGATTAGTATCTTCCGAAAGAGCGAGATCTTCTTCTAACTTCTTAATTTTTGCATCACATTGGACCTTCTCTAATTGTAGTTTTTGTCTGGCAGCTTCCTCTTCCTCTAGTTGCTCTTCCAGATCACTAATGTTCAATTGTAATTTCTTCTTCTCTTGGGCCAATGCTGCACTTCTCTCTTCTTCTTCCTCGATACGTGCTTCCAAATCATGCAAAATTTCCTCGAGCTCTTGCTTCCTCGCGGCCAATCTAGCTCTCATCTCTTCAGCTTCAGCGCAGAGCTCGACCTCTGCCTGCAATTGTTCAGCTAGCATAGTTTTCTCTTCAATCGCCTGCTGATATTTGCGCTCGTATTCCTGAGCCGAGTGCAGCTGTAACTCCAGCTTGTCGCGAACCTGCTTTAATTCATCCTCCTTCTGCGTAAGTTTTTCCTCTTGCTTGGTAACTTCCAGCAAAGGCTTCACTTTGGTGTACAACCGCCACCATTGCCAATTGCGCAACTTTAAGTAAGCCGCACAGTTTCTCTGGATAATGCGGATCGCGTTAAGCTGCTGCAGACGTTTTTGATAATTACGCCTAGCCAAGAAACCGCGACAGAAGGCTTGGAAATTGACGATTATGTCCGTAATCTTGTAGTCTCTCTCCTCCTCCAAATGAGCTAACACTCCAGCACGGAAAAAGATCTTCGATTGTCCAACACGATAAAGATTCGGATCTAACTCCAATGCTTGAATCTGTAATAAAAATTTATTTTATTTAGTGATCTTATTGTCTTATCTTTAATCAAAATGCACGACTATAAAGATACATACCATCTTTTCGCAAGCTTTTTTTCCGTCCATAAATCCTTTGGGAATAGCATTCGGAGTGAGTAGTTCGTAGCGTTGCCTGAACTCTTGGAACGGAATTCTGTTTGGAAAACCTTGTCGACAGATACGAATACCCTCTAATACGCCGTTGCATCGCAACTGATCCAGCACAAGTGGGGCATCAATTTTACCGGCTCTCTTCTCGTGATTTGGTATTATACATCTAACAAAGTTCGGATTCGTATTGCGCAACGTCACCATCAGTTTGGCCAGTTGTTCCTTGTACAACTGTGAGACCGTTCTGAACATGCCCTTTCTCGTTCTCGCGCCGAATTGCGTGTCCGTGAGTGCTTGCTGCGCCATACCGACGATCTCGGCGTCTTTCCAGATATGACATACAAACGGATCTTGCGACGCTTGTAGAAGACTGACGACATTTTCATTCAACGGGTCCATGTTCTTCATTAACCATTTGGCAGCAGAATAGTCTACCTTACCGGCATAGTGGATAATTGCGAAATCAGCCACACCGCGGAAATCAGTCTTCATAAACTTCGGGTGGACACTGTGAGCGCCAACCAATTTTTCCACGAATGTTTTATCCGTAGCTTTAGGGAACCAACATTCCTCATCCAAGAGTGCCATAATGCCCATCGGTTTGTCGATTAGATCAATCGTTGGTTGCAGATCCAACCCGAAATCTATAAATTTCCATTCGATTCCCTCACGCTGATATTCCTCCTGTTCCAAAATGAACATTGTGTGATTGAACAATTGTTGCAACTTCTCATTCGTATAATTGATACATAGCTGTTCGAAGGAGTTCAGCTCAAATATTTCGAAACCGGCCATATCCAAGATGCCGATAAAACTGGCGCCCTGTCGCTTCGTTCTGTCTAAAGATCTATTGATTCTGTTTACCAACCAACGGAACATTCTCTCATAACAGGCTTTTGAGATCGCCTCCACGGCAAATTCTACTTGTTCCTTCGTCTGTGCTTTCGTAACGAAATCACGGCCGACCTTGATGCGTGGTTTTAGGAAGGCTTTCGTCATTTCGGTCACGCTTAGACCCAGCAGGTGCGAGATTTTCTGTGCCACAGTGTTATCGGGTAACGTTGCCTGATCAGAATTTCGTTCCTGACGGAATTGCATCGAACCAAACAACATCACGGCGGAAACGATACGGAAGATAGAGGAGAAGTCCTCATTGGTCATCCCCATGATGTGCATCGATTTTACCGTGGAGAAAAATTCGGCGGAATCGTCGACACCTGGAACTGGTAGAGCTCCATTCGACAGGAAGGGATAGTGCTTCGGATCTTCCAGTATAAATTCCTCTAAAGAAATAACGAATTAATTATAAGTTATTGAACACAATGAATTAAAGTATGGAGTATTTCTTCTATAATCTTCTTTTGTTTGACTTACTCTTTTGTTCCATCGAGGCGCCCGCCAACAATTGATAAAATATGTGAAAAGTCCTTTCATCTTTCGCTTGCCGAATGGCTCTGGACTTTTCCAAAAGATACGTCTCGATATTTGCACCAGCTATGTAACCGGATGCGTCAAAATTTATTCTTATAAATTTACCCTGCAATATGTACGTTATATAAATAACACCATCTTTAATTACAATAGAGTGAAGAAATAATGTGCTAAAGAACAAAAAAAAATCGCACTTCAAAATTTAAAATTAATTTTCTAGTTAATAATTATTAATATTACTTACGAAACGAGACGAATTGTCATTTTTCACCGTCTTCGCATTACCAAACGCTTCCAAAATTGGATTTGCCTGAAGGAGTTGTTGCTCAAGTTCACCCTATGAAAAAAATGTTAGTAATTAATAATAAACATTGTCGAGAATATATGTTTTTCGAGACTGATAAAAATAGCGCTAATGAGCAAAATAAATGGCTTATTACATACGAAACAATGTAATCAATATAAAATGCACATGGCATCAATTTCTGCAAGTTCTTACTCGAATTATTTAAATATTTAGACATATATATTTACATAAAATATTACGATTATTACGAAATATTGAAAATTATTTACAATCATAATATGTAAGCGACAAATATTCAGGACGATAATTTTGTTTAAACGCTGAAAGCAATATTTACATATAATTTATCCAATAAAGATATTGATATTATATATTTTATTATTAATAATATTAAATAAATATCGTACTATATTATTAACATTATATGTACATAAATATTAGATTGAGGTATTGAATCTATTTGTTAAAAATATCACCGTTAAAAATAAATGAGGTAAAAATATTACTTTTATCCTAAACATTTTACCAAAGATACAAAATATAATAACGTTGACTTAACACCGGATATATACAATAGCGCTAAATATATAGAATAATTATTAAAAAATAGATACGGAAGATATCGATGATAAAAATTTAGAAAAAAAAAAGATATATTTGCCGTTTCGAAACATTGACTATTTAAACACGAAAACACAAATTAATTCGTTTATCTTAAAGGAGCATAATTGGCGTGAAAATTTTCGTTTAAAAGATATTTATGACAAATCACTGTAAACCTTATTGAAGAACAAGCAATTCTATAGCATAGAAGTAAAACAAATTGTCTTTTATGTAAATATAAAACATTTACTTATAAAACTTTCTACTTTCAAACGTCAGGATATTACTCATATTGTATTATTTCGTGGTATGAAAGATCTTTTATATTTTCAATATTATAAGCATAATTGGCGACAACGAAATCTTTCACGCTTCCTTACTCAGCATATAATCACGATTAACACAAGCGCATTGTACGCATTGTCAAGCATCGAAAATCGACTTCTAACTTGATCGACTGTTGCGATTTGTTAAACTGT